TATGTGTACACATACCTCTTAAATAATTCAATACATCCTTTGTACTGAAGTATTCACAAGTAAAAATTACATTTTCTAATATCAGTAAATTACTGTAGCCAATTGTTTTCATTGCACAGACCTTTGTAACTCTCTGAAACCACCAATTAATGCACTGACTTGCTTGTAGAACCACTCTGCTACACAAAGCAGATAGAAATCCCGCCATTCTGCCTTGTAGTTTTTTTTTCTACGATCTGTGGGGGGAAAAAAGAAAGAGGATAAAAAAAAAAGAGTTTCACAGACGGGAGCCTGCTCCCGGCGTTTGCGTTAAAGAACCGGTTCGTTCGTGACCGACACGTCACTATTTCTAGCTGTCTGGATGGGTAACCTCACCGGGGTCAATCCACTGCTCAGGGCATCTGAAGGCTGGACAGATGTTGAGATCTGCAGAGTCTTTCATATTAGCATTTGATTATTTTTGCTGGTTCTGTTCCCAGTCACATGGAGGTTCAGTGGACTTTAGCCCCACAGCCATAGGTGTGCCAAGGATCAGATATAGTATGCAGGTTTATCCCTTTCTCCTCTATCTTTTCTGGCCGCCCCCCCCTGTGAATTATTGATTTGATCAGGTGTGTTAAATTAGTCACTTGGGATTATGTAGAACATGAATATTAATTGATGCCACCAAAGTCCCAGCTGCTGTTTTCCAATTTTCCAGGCCACAGATTCCCTCTCTGGATGCTAAGTGGCACACCAAGCAGGAGAAGGACTTCAGCTTTACTTGTCCGGTGTTTGGATTCAGCTCAATATTTATGTAATCCTACCCAAACTAGTTTTTTTTTCTGTCTGTCTGTGTTGTTGTTGCTATGGTAACCAGCCCAGACACCATTCATAAAGTGAGTTTTTGCTCTTTGCATGCCTGATCAGTTATCAGCGGCGACGCGTCTGGGTTTCATTACCAGCCCCATTCGCAGCGGCGAACGCGGAGGCATCATCAATCGGAAGGGACCAGACGAGGCCAGACGCTCGGCTCTCTCCAGGGAAGAGGGGTTGTTCTAGACTGAGCCAAGACTCACCTTCCCTCCTAATGGACATCCGCCAACTTAAATAAATTGAAAGCACCGAGGTAGTAACCCGTACACACGGTGTCCATTGTTAGAGAATTACTTCAGGCTTCCATGCAGCAAGGTTCAGTGTCCCCCCGACAATTACCTGGCTGCGTGGGTTCAAGATCCTATATAGTGATACTCTCCCTAGCAGGAGGTAATTGGATTTTGTTCCCTTTGTAGATTTACTCTCTCACATGTCCCCTGCTCTATATATTAATGTTCATTGAGTGGCAATCATGGACTTACACAGGAAAGCAGACAGCAGTAGATGGGGATCATGGATGTATTGTACAGTGCAGGAAAGAGGCTCTGTGTTTGATGGAGCAGAACTGCAGACTTCGCTACGAGCAGAATGCTGTCTAATTGGTATTCATTGAACTACGATTCCACAAGATTGGATCATCTTTGTTATGATTGGCCTGCCGCAGACAGGACATGGATAAGGATTTACAGTATGTCCTTTATATTTGTGCCTTCATAGTACTATCGGGTTTACTAGAGCTCTCTTTCTTTGTGCTGAAGAAAATCTTTTTACTCATTGTAATTGCACTGCAGATTGTGGTATTTTCAGTGCATTATGTTTGCTCCCTGTGTTTTTTCCCACTCGGTGATATCAGCATTAGATATCTCCATCTCATCCTTGAAGAAACTCAGGGCTCCAAAAATGGTTGTAAGGATACCCCTACTACATGAATGAACCTACAACCTCTTTTTCACAATATCTGTTGATTGATCTGCACTATGTGTTGGACTTTATCCCACATACAGCCTGGTTCTGGAGAGAGTTTGCTTCTATAATATTGAGTTGTATGTCACTGAGCTGCTCTTTGATTTATAGTAACCCAGTCATGAACAGTCGTGGATATGCTCCAGATTTATAGCACTAATATTGTACATAGTAAAGTGCAAGCTTTCTTGACATAACCCTGTATCAATGTTTAAAGCCACCTCTATGTTTGGTGAGAAAGCAGTGTGGCATCTTTATTGTGCAAACAGAGCCCTGGTATGCTGAGAAAGTGCTCCCTATCGGAGAACATAAAGTTTGACAGCAAATCCCAACACCTTCTACAAGCAGCTGATAGGAAATGTGGAAGGGCATTCACAAGGTGACATCATGTAATGGCATCCATTATTGATTCATCTCATGAGGATGAAAGGGGTCCTAACGCTAATTGCTCAGTCAGAACTATTGGAAATTATGCATTTATTTTTGCTAGTCATTGCTGGCTGCTCATTATGAGGACTTTGATATGGTTGGGTGGGGTTCTGTAGGATAATGAGGTGTTTGCAGTGCATGTGTGTATACAGCTGACTGCTTCACTGCAGCAAGTCTATAGCAGCCCCATAATTAGCAAAGAATGAAAGACCCTATATGGTTTTGTTTATTACCCCCTAAGATGGGCTTAATCCCAAACCTCAGGATGGATTTCATATTGAGCAGGAGGAGGCATTGTAATGAGCTTTCTTCACACGGCTGCCAGAAGGAAGTGACTTCCAGCCTTTAAACGGTTCAATGACCGATGATGGGTGGTCAATACATTAACTGTCAAGAAGTAATTGACTTATGCATGGCATGTAGAAATAGGCAGATACAAAACTGCCAGCAGTGTAGCATCCTAGAGTAGGGCTGGGCGATAAATAGAGAATTTACTGATACTGAAATTTACAACGATAACCAACGTCACTTTGCGCATATCAGTATATTCTGTGTCAAAGAAAATAAAGTTGGTTTTGGATGCGTATAGGAAGGCTATGGTCTCATGTTCCTTTAAGATGCTGTCCTATGTCAGAGACGTGACTCCACCCCATCCAGTCCGTAAGAAAGAGGGAAAGACAGGTGAGGAGATGGAGGACGGTTCAGAAGTTGTGTGCAGGGGGGGAGCAGTTTGTGGAGGAGTTGTCATCCATTTATTGTTAAGGAGGAAAGAGGGCAGAAAGTGGGAATTCAAACTTGCAGCCATTGCAACAGCAGTATCCCATCCATCTACCATTTGCAAGTCAATTGGTTCACCTTTTGGTTCAACCTTTGGTCAATTCATTCATTTATTGATCCATCTGTAGTTCCATCCGTTGGGCCACATTGTGGTCCATTCAGTCATTCACAGGTCCATCTGCTGGTCCATTCATTGGTCCATTCAGCAGAGGTACAGCCTTTCATGCATTGGTCTATCCATCCATTGGTTTAACCTTTGTTCCATTCATGCATTGTTTAATTGATGGACCCTTTATCGTTACATCCACTGGTCCATGCTTTGGACCAACCAATCATCTCTTCTTCCATCCATTGGTCCATTCAACTATTAGTCCTTCCAGTGGTGTGCTCATGTGTACACCCGTCCATCCATGCTTCCATCCATCTATTTTGCATGTGAATCTGGTAGTTCACACTCTTGAACTGCTTCTGGGTGCTCCCATGGTCTTTTGATGTCAGGCTGTGATATATTATTCCCCAGTCAGCAGATTACCAACCAAGCATTGAAAACCTCCAGAGTGAGACATCATAGAGGCATGTCAATCAGATACTCAGGCTGAACCTTATAACCAACCCTTCTGTATTTCCAATCTCAGAGTCCTCGCTCCTCTTCCTTTATTTGCTGTTAATGGAGCTCATTTCAGTTGTTTGTTTTAACAACCTTTAGGCGGTTACTGGGAGCGCAAGCTCATTAACTTCCGGACTGTTTATTTCAGTGACATTGATTATTGATTTTATGTAGAGTAGGACCTTTAATTGACCGCTTCATATGGATTCTTTAATCAACAGTTTTCTGTTTAACATGCTACCCACTACCAGTGAGGTATATTTTCTCTTTTACTACACTCAGGGCTGTGCGTCTGTTCAAATGTGAAGGCGAACAACATTTTTCCTGCGGCAAACGCTCAGTCGGAGAAATAAAAAATGAAGTAGGTGTATATCTTTTTTAAAAGCGTAGAGCTCTGTAATTGTTAAGCTACATTTCTCTTTTATGAGTATGGCCAATGCAGTTGAAAGAGAACTTGCACTTGCTTCTCTCCGGTCAGTTTCCTCTATCAGTGGACATTTATGTAGACATATGGGCAAGGTCATGAAGGCCATACCCTCCCTGAGCTGCCAACCTGCTCATTAGGACTGCAACATCTGTGGTAGCCAACACTCAGATTACTGCAGTCGGTGCCCTCTCACATTACCCGGTTAAACAAGCTTATGAACCCTCAGGCCACGTCTCTGTCTTTGGGTTTACACTTTGTACTCTTTCAACTAGTTGCAATGGTCATTTGTTGTTTGCTGGTACACGAATATCTCTAAATAATCTCTATGAGATTCGACTCTGGACTCGGACCTTACGTTCAGACTGTCGTCAGACTTGTTCACCATCAGGAATCCCCTCTCCACTGCTGCGTTGGCTCATTGCCCGGATATGGAGCGGGACAAGAGTGATGATAATTTGTCATTGACAGGGTTTGATTGATAGTGTGTGCCAGCCGCCCCGCACTGCTGGTATCTGAAACTAATTGAATGTAATCTCAGAGAGATAGGGTAGCGTGATGACAAATGAGCAGCCTTGTGAGATTATTTAGAGCCTATTGTGGACATCCTCCCCCTTTAACAGGTCTAGCCCCTCACTGGACCCCTCAGATAAGTGATTACCATCTTTAGCGACCTGCTTCTCTTTACATTTTAGCTCTGGTGCTCTGGTGCTGAAGCATCCATAAACCATTTCCTTTCAAAGATTTTCACCCACAGACGCAGCATCAGAAGCAGGTTCTGGCACTTTGTGATAGAGGAAATCTTAATGTCATGAATTCTGTTTTCACCAGTAAAGATGAGGGCTCTTTTAGGCTCTGGATAAGCCTTTCTTGCAAACCAGGCAGCTGCTGAGGAGAGACAGGGGATTTATCTTGGTGAAGGACTGTGTTTGCCCAGTCATGCAGCACTGACGAGCGCTGGGGCTCAGGGGTTTGGATTGGGGAAGGCGAGGGGGGTCAGTCAGAGGGTGGAGGTGGGACCAGGCATGGAGCTCTGAGGCTGGGGGCGGGGAGGATGCTGCACTCAGGATGCTGCGTGGCCCTCAAGAGCCATCTGGCCCTCACCCTCTACCCACAGCCCGAGGGAGGGTGAAGGACAGGTGGCAAGAGCTGGTGGGATGGCCTGGACTTTGGCTGTGGGGCAACATGATTGGTCAGCCTGGGCCCTGAAAACACCAACCCCTCACATACCAGACTCCTGCTCTGTTTCATGTCAGGATGGACAAAATTGATGTCCCTGGAAACAAACTGTATGCCATTAGTCTTTGATTTAGGGTCGTATTCACCTTTTTTGATAAAAATAGGGGTGAAATTTGTCCGACTGGCTGTATAAGGTTGATAAGTTTTAACATTTTAAGATAGAAAAGTCATAGAAATTGCAAAAAGCGATCAAATCAAACCAACTGTTTGATCTACCATACAGGAAAACCCAAGTTCGCTCTTACCAAAAGCTACAGCATACACTGATAGATGACATTAGATTCACTAAAATAGAAGATCAACATATATTATATGACTGTTCGCACAAAAAAGGGAAAATTCATGACAAGATGAACGATTAAATTGCAAATATACCCAAAGAAAGCTGCCTTTTCCCTCTCACCTCTCATTTCAACAACAGTTTATCAAAATTGAAGGCGGTATTTTAGCCCCAGGCGTCTATTTGCTTTCCACTCTGTTGGTAGAAAGTACCCGTCTTTGACTTTTCTTGCAATACGGCAGCAAAAAAATAATAGAAAAAGTGAAAACTCTCGCTACAGTTTAATGATTTGACCTTTTTTTGTCAGCTTCAGTCTGTATGGCCAAAGAAATGGTGTTGCTAGAAACCCGCCCAGCAGGGTGGATGATGTTCCGGCTGTCCTGACTCGCACAACATCGTGATCTCAGTCTGGGGGTCAGTGGGTAGGATCTGGTTCAGTCTGGTTCGTGGGGGAGGCGCTCAGCTGATGAACAGGTGCTTCAGCTCGCTCCTGCAGTGATGGGATTTCCTCTCTCTGTACTCTTTGTATCCAAATTCAACCTCACACACGTTTTAATTATTTCTGCAGGTGGCTTGAATTGGAAACAGTCTTTGTCTTTGGTTTTATTTTGATGAATAATTATGTTATAATTAAAGCTGAGAAGCAGCGTTCGTCATATCTGGGAAGAGCTTATATAAAAGCTGTCATCCCCGATCGGACTAAAATGCTACCACCACTCTGCTTTTTAATTATTTTACCTATGAGATAACTTATTACGATGTGTTTGCTGCATGATATTTTTCATTATGTTAGATATGCATTTGTTTTTTCATTTCACGCTCATTAAAAATATAAAATCCATCTGCAGCACCTGGGAGAATGGCTTAAGGCTCAGAGACAGGAAGGTGTGATTGTAGATTAGAAAAGCGTTGTGTTGTTTGTTGCTGCTGCAGGTTGAATGAATGCAAAACCACCAGAGGAGCATGTATAGAGATCTGTTATCTTTGCTGTCTTTGCTTAGTAGGGCTGGGCGGTATGGCCTCAATCACAAGCTGCTCACCCCCTCCCATAATAACTTTGTCTACTTCAGCCGCTACAACTTTTGAACCGTCCTCCATCTCCTCACCCGTCTCTCCCTCTTTGTTACGTATTGTATTGGATGGGGTGGAGTCACTTCTCTGATGTAGGACAGCGTCTTAAAGGGACATGAGACCATAGCCTACCTACACACATCCAAAACTAACTTTTATATATCTCTTTTTTAGACAATGAATATATCGATGACATTGGCTATTGTAATAAATTTCGGTATCTGTGAATTTTCAGTTTATCACCCAGTCCTATCGCTCAGTGCTGGTCCACTTTTTGTTGATTTGTGTTGAGACAGAGATCCTGTTTTCTCTTGTCTGTCTGTGCGGTTTGTGTTGCAGAGAGAAAGAGAGACAAACTTGTGTGCTCAGGATTGGTTCTTGACAATCTTTTCCCGCTAGTCTCCATCCTAGGAAATCCAGCTGGAATTCAATTTAACACACCAGGAGTTTTCCAAGTGATAAGGAGGGAATAGAGGTAAAAAAGGTGATGCTTTTCATTTGTAGCCCCCACATCCACTCTACAGCCTGTTAACCTCAGCCCTGCCTCCATCTCTGCTCTCATCGTGTAAATTTGAGAACTGAAATATGTAAGACCATCGCAGGAGGATGCAGAGACAGAAAAGTAGAGGTAAAGAAAGTGGACAAGCTTTTTCCGTATCAGCATCCTTTGTTAAGGGAAATGGAGATTTCTTACCGCCTGTTGTTCAATGAAATATTACTGGACCTTGTTCGCCTGCGGGGGCTGTGGGAAACACAATTGGCGCCATGACAATGAACAATGGTAGTGAGGAAACACAGGGCCGTGTTTTCAAACTCTCTCAAGGCCGGAAGAAAAAGAAGTTGCTGAATTTTTTATTTCTTGGCATTTTTTGTTCACTTGTTTACCTCAGAGAATGCAAAGACGTGCATCACCTGCGTTTATTCTAGTCTGAGACAAAAGGCAAAAAAAGCAACACACTGCTGAGAATATGAACATACAAGTGATGAATGGTTGCGTCTTTGTTAATTCCTGCCCATTCATTGCAGTACATTTGTTTGTTTGTATCCTCCTTGAGATAAATTTTGCGATAATTTATCAGCACCTTTACTGAGGGATTAAACTTCAACACTTCTTTTTATCTCTCTGAATTAATAATCCTGTTTTATTCAGGGAACAGATTCTCCACCAGTGTCTCTCTCAGCGTGTAATCCCCCGAACACGAAGTGATGAATCAGACAATGATTTTCCGTCTCCAGTACCTTCCCCCAGCCTCAGACTCCGCTGTTGCTCTGCATTTTAATGCACTCTGTACAGTCAGTGTGCTGCAAGGGAGTCATGCTACCACTGGATCTGGAGGATGGAGAGGTGGGAAGAGGCTATTATGTCTGTTTCTGCACTTGAGGAATGATACTTGCTGCTTAGAGGTGTTTTTCTTACATTTGCATGTTCTGGGGCTAACACCCACTATGAACCTCAAAGAATAATTGAATGCATCAGAACCCCCCAAAACAGTTTGATTATCTGAGACTCTTGAGGGGTTGTTATTTGTTACTCTAAAGCAAAAACAGTCTAATTTTGTCCACCTAAAAATACACCTGAAAGAGTTAGCGTTTGCAAACAGCACAGAAAAGTCAGCAGTCCCTCTTAGTCGCAAACTTGAAGGATAAACCAAATTATTAAAATGCAAGGGCTCTCCTACTTAGCACATCATTGGGATATCCTTGAAATTCAAGGGCAGTTTGACAACTTTCCAGAGGATTATTTGCAAGTTTCTCTTGGAGGGCTTTTAAGCAATATCATGAAGACAACAATAACACATGACTTTGCAAGTCTCTTGTTGGTCTGTTTTTGCTCTCAGACAAATAACTAACTCAGGGTGACCATACGTCCTCTTTTACCCAGACATGTGCTCTTCTTGGGGGGCTGTCCGGCTTTGTCCGGGGGAGTTTATAAAATCCTTCAAATGCCTGGGGTTTTGTAGGTAAGTGTGTTTGTGTTTGTGTCGCATAGACTTACTGAGTTAGAAGTGTGTAAAAACACTAGATTCGACCAGAAATACGTGCGTCTCCATGACTCCGCCCCCCCATAGTCATGTCCTCTTTTTGGGGATTTAGAATATGGTCACCCTAACTAACTACCCCTCTCCATCCATGTGCCAGTTGGCCGCTGTGTCCATCTGCTGTATTTGATGCTCAGTAGGTGATGTACTCTTGAACTTGTGGGTGATACTGCATGAATTTTTGGTTGTAAGAATATTTAATCACATATTTACTTGATGAAGATGAAGATGATAACGTCTTGGGATGCTAATTAACCAAGTATGGAGTTTCTAATTGTTAAGGATGTACTTAAGCATATATTTTGTGTTTGATTTTCCACAAGGCAGAGAGCAAGATCATGTTATCTCCTATTATATCAGCTATCAGTTTGGTGTTTTTGAGTTTGAAGCACGTTCTATTGCAAACCAACTGCCCAAATATACTCAGTCAGGGGCTGTGGCCATGCACAAGGTTGTTTTTGGCCACCTCTATAGACTTAGAGGATGAGAACTTAAATCAGGACATTACCCCCACAGCCAACAGAGACTGGTAGAAAGCCATCAGAGGGAGATTTGTCAGACCTGCACCAGTATGTGTGGAAACCAGCAACATCAGGGCCTTCTGAGTGAGTCTCTTCTGCTGCCAGATTGACTCTCGACCGTGTGTACATACTCAACCGTTTAATTAAGAAGAACACGTATGAAGGAAAAAGATTTCAGAAATGTCACAGGAAAAAAAAAACTATTTATTTTAATTGATCTCTTCTCACACGGAGCAAGAGCACGATCACTGTTTCTTCTGTCGTTCCTAGAGGCTGCAGACGTCTGCTGCTGTACCCTCAGAGATTTCCACACTTGACTAAAATGTTCCAGTCTATTAAACTGTCTAGATTTTAGTTATAAGAGTCGTGGCTCTTTTTTTTTTTTTTTGCAACACCACTAAGATATTCAGAATCTGTATGACAGTGTTTTCAGACTCCAGGTTTCTCTCCTGGGATAATGTGCCGGGTCCCCCCTTCTTGGCTCCGGGATGCTGCCTCAGCAATATTATTGAGGGCAGCACTGCCGACGAGGAGCTCTGTTGTAATTGAGCTTTTTAATTCCTGGGAGAGCCCTAAGCTGGGCGTTAGAACAGATGTTTTTCATGTGATTCTGTCCACAGCAAACGCAAAATCAATGTCAATAAGGCCAGCTGGGATGACAGGCTGGTCAGGGTTACTATTTCAGGAGGGAGGGGAAGCTCGGCAGTAAATATTGACAGTTTGCATGAATTATTATCAGAAACAGATTCTTTAATCCCCCCCTGCAAAAAAAATGAAATCTTCATTATTTCAGGCTATGACTTGAGTCATGGTCCTTTAAACAATCTGTTGAAAACAAACCTGAATCTGCAAACCTTTCAAATTTAAGACTTGCAAGAACTTGAAGTAATTCCATAATGTTTGCTGTGTTGACATTGTATACTGAAGCGTAGAGGCTACAGTGTGTAATAGACAGCATGATTGAGCAGTAGACCCAGAAAAC